ACCTTCATCAGGCAAAGAGTGAATATTTCCACATATTAAAAGGAATTAATTTTTCTTATGTTTTTCGATGTTAAATATTCTCGATATTAGACATTCTCTTTTTTGTATGTTAGTGACCCAAATATCTTCCTTATATATATATATATATATATATATATATATATATATATACGCATGTTTCTTACTGATATAAATGTTATTTTTACTAGGTACACGTGTTTGATATACTATCCCTGTTTTTCTTAAACAGTGCAATTAATAACAACTGCCCTAGTTCAAGAATTTCTACTCAATAAAAGTATGCCTAGCAACAAGAATCGAACCTTTATCCCCTTTGCCATTAAGGAAGCCACTCCCATAGCCGAAGCTTGCTGCTACCATCTTGGCAACTGGAGGCAATCTTGATGCGGTAAAATTCAATTTACCTATTAAGGAAGGCACATATCTCGATGAGACTCCTACGAATCTAATAGCTTCATCTTCAGGCATGAAACCGACACAACAGCTTCTTTTTTTTAATAAAATAGATAAATTAAGCGTTACTTTGGTTTCAGATAAATTAAACTTTGCATTGGATGCATGTTCAGTTCGGTTAGCATTTGTTTTTAATCAATTCACCACAAGCAAGGCGATAATGACATTAAGCAATGCCCTATCCCAGTAGCCCTTGCGGCTACGGCCGGGGGGGAGCTTTTTCATCATTAAACTTACTGATTTATCAATGTATATGGAAATTAATTTATTAGCAATAATGATTTTGGTAGCATCTCACTCAAGCTCTGATATTTAGAGAATATCTTCTATCATATTGATAACAGAAAAAAAATCATGGAGACATCTTTAATGTTATTAAAGGGAATATTTTTATTCAGACATTTTTTTTAATCAATTCTTTTCTCGCGCTGTGGAATTCCCTTCCGTTTACTTGCTTCCCTGATAACTACAATCTTCGAAAATTTAAATGCAACATCAATCGCCATCTGTCTTCTTGAATCCTGTTCATCTTTTGTCCTATCCTCTTTATTCTTCAGTCTTCACATTCACTTTCACTCCTTGTAACCCCCTAGCGCACTAGTGGCATTCCCGCCTTGCTTGGGGTGAAATGATAAAAAAAAAATCATCCCAAAGCCCCTAAGACGCAAGGGACTGCTGGGAATGAAAGAGAACGAGAAAACTTCATACGAAATCAGAAACCCAATCTTAAACAGGAAACAAGGGATAAACCTTTTCTGTTCAAGACACTTCAGTGGGACTTCTCTATCTAGGCTGGTTTTAACAAACAGGGTTAGCAACTCAAACATCAGTATACACTAGAAATAATGTTTACGAAGTAATATCGGATTTAAAAATTAATTTAAAATATTTAAGTATCATTATCTCGAATGTCAACACGAAACATTGCAAGTAATCTACGGATACAAATATCCTAGAATAAAAATAAACCACGTGTCGAAATAATGGTCACTAATGAAATATCGTTTTGTCAATGCATTAAAATGACGAAATATTTCAATTCTTTCTTTTAGAATTTCATTTGTTTATTCATTTTTTATCTTTCTTTTCATCAGTCCGCATTTTTTAACCTGTCTTTGTATTCCACCTTTTTAACCAGACATTTTTTTTCCTTTCTTCATTTTCTTTGTCCACACGCCATTGTTTGTTTGCTTGTTTGTTTAGTTCTTTCTCTCTTTCTTTTTCTGCCGTCTTTGTACGTCTCTTTCTTTTTCTGCAATTTCCATACATTTCTTTCTTTCTTTATTTATTTTTCTGCAGTTTTCATACATTTCTTTCTTTATTTATTTATTTATTTATTTTTCTGCAGTTTTCATACATTTCTTTTTACTTTTTCTGCAGTTTTCGTACCTTTCTTTCTTTCTTTTTCCGCAATTTTCGTACCTTTCATTCTTAATTTTTTTCTTTCTTTTTCTACAGTTTTCGCACTTTTCTTTCTTACTTTTCTTTCTTTTTCTGCGGTTTTCATACCTTTCTTTCTTTCTTTCTTTCTTCCTTTACTATATTTAAAATATGTATATACGTAGGCAAAAACTGTATACCATCAACGACAATTCAGTTGCATTGTTTGCTTGTTTGTTTCGTTCTTTCTGTCTTTCTTTTCCTATCGTCTCCGTACCTTTCTTTCTTATTCTGCAATTTTCATACATTTTTTTCTTTCTTTCTTTATTTATTTATTTATTTTTCTGCAGTTTTCATACGTTTCTTTCTTTGTTTTTTCGCCATTTTCGTACCTTTCATTCTTTCTTAATTTTTCTTCCTTTTTCTGCAATTTTCATACTTTTCTTTCTTTCTTTTTCTGCGGTTTTCATACCTTTCTTTCTTTCTTTCTTCCTTTCTCCTATAAGCGACTATATTTAAAATATGTATATACGTAGGCAAAAGCTGTATGCCATCAACGACAATTCAGTTGCATTGAGTAGCAATCATAATTACAGAAACTGATAAAGGCCGGAACAGACACGCACCTAGTTAAACACTTGATAGA